CGGAGAGAGGTTAGTTATTGTTTGGGTAGAGGTATGTGAGGGTATCATGGGGAGAGGAGCATACCATCTTGGCTGTTGTGGAGGGGTGCAGCTGGGAAGCGGGTGTGGATGGTGATGGCTTCGATGCAACGGGAGCTCTGGGTGGGGAGGTTCAAGTGTGTTTGTTGGACAGTATCGCTATCGGATGAATGTCGTTTCGAACCTCAGGAGGTAGAGCGGTCTGAATCGCGTGTTGTGGTGTTGTCGACCTGTCGTCGTTGGAGCTCTCGTGCAATCAATGACAGCCTTGGAGGTTCAAGAGGTCGGGTTGGAAGCTCTCCAAGCTGACAAGGAGGCTGCGCTGGAGTTGACGTGCAAGGCAACACGCAGCTGGCGCGGCGAGTCGGCGAGCGGGCTGGCAGGGGTGGTCCCTGGCCAAGGTGTAACATAAAAGGCGGTGACAGACGGCGGTAAACGGCTGAAGCCTGCGAAAACGCAAGCTCCCCCTCCAGCTGTGCCCCGTGCGCGCTGTAATTGCCCCTCTGGAGAGCTTCCAGTTCAGTGGGTGATGGAAGCTCCAGGAACCACCCCACTTGATTATTACAACTGTTGTCTAGACAGCCAAGTTACGTGTTATAGCACTGCCTGGTGAATCGAAGACAAGACAAACAAGGTCGACTATCATATCTTTGGTCTTTGCTGTGCTGTATTCGGGCTCGTTGACTATTTGACAATTCACTTGATACTCTACTGTACCTCTCAAGGCGCCTTGCCTATCGATACCCCGCTACATTGACAGAATGTCAGCCGCTCACGTCGAGGTCATCTCGACAGACCTCCGCCGAGCCAAGGTCAAGGTCAACCCGGGAACATACCTGGTTGATGTCCTCAATGAAGCTTGCAAGAAGCTGAATGTCAACCCTGACAAGTATGATGTCAAGTGAGTTGATCCTTGTGTGTTAATCTCCAATACATCTCATCATCAGCTTACACGTATCACAGGCACAAACAAAAGATTGTCGATCTCACATCTCCCTTCCGCACATCAGGGCTGGTTTCCGGTGCGAAGCTGGAGCTTGTTCAAAAGTCAAAGAGTGCATCCGTTGTGTCGATAGCTCTCGATGTCGATGGGAAACGTTTCACAAAGAAGCTGCCCAACGACTTCACATTATGGCAAACGTTGCGCCAGTTTGAGAGCTCAGAGAGTGGGCTCAACCTTACGGGCAGAGCCACTCCAAAAAAAGACACCCAGAACGGCGGTCAGCTTTATCACGAGGCCCCCATTGTCAACATCATGGGGAGAGAGTACTCTGCTTTGGAAGATCTCAACAAGACCTTGTCACAATGTGGCATCAACTCTGGCAGCATGGTCCTTCGCCTGAGTTTCAAACTCACGGAAAAGACCTTGTTCGAGGCCATGTCCGATATCGGCCAGTTCTTGAAGGATGTCGAGCCAGATCAGCCAAAGGAAGAGGAGTCAAAACCAGCGCCGGTCCAACAGGAGCCCAAGGTGGAGAGCAGTACTACTGATGTTGTAGAGGAACCAAAGGTGGAAGGCAACATAGAATCAAGCATTTCACCAACCGAGACAACCACCCCAGCAGTCACAGAGCAAGAAGAGACGAAGCCTTCTGCGGATCTCATGGATGTCGATGAAACCCAGCCTCAGCCTACATCACCACCCTCCGAACCTGTTGACCGCTTCCTCCCCACCTCCGTCTTCGTCGCCCCCACCTCCACCACCCCAGCAGCAGTCAACATCCAAGAAGACGACTCAGCTTACGAACCAACCATTGCCCATGCCCAGCTCCGCCAGCAACAGCTCCTCCAAAAGGCCCAAAACACCCGCCTCAAATCCGACGCCGAGCTCGCCGCAATCAAGGCAGAAGAAGCTGCCAAACTTGCCAAGGTTACCAGAGTTGAAATCAAAGTCCGATTCCCTGACCAAACCTCCGCCACGTGGGTGGCTACCCCTGAGGAGACCGGAGGCTGGTTATATCAAGCCATCCGGGCGACGATGGCGCACCCAGATCAGCCTTTCAAGCTTATCATCCCCGGCCCGAGGACACACGTGGAAGATGGGAACAAGAAGTTGATTGCGGGGTATAAGCTCAAGGGGCCACAGATGTTTAATCTTGTTTGGGAGGATGGTGCCTCTGGGGAGGCGAGGAAGGGCGGGTTTTTGAAGGAGAGCGTAGCTTCTAGGGCGAGGGACATTGTGATTCCTGAGGTGCCAGAGGGTGGGGTTGTCGGGGGTGGTAGTGAGGCTGGGCCGTCGGGGTCTTCGTCGGCTCAGGGGGCGGGGTCAGAGAAGCCGAAGAGGGAGATTGACCCTGAGGCGCTCAAGAAGAAGATGGGGAAGTTTTTCAAGTTTGGGAAGAAGTGAGTTGCTTGATAAATTATGTGGGAGAGGAGGAAAGTGGTTGTTGTGTCTGCATTAATCAGGGCGTTTGCTGTATCGAGGATAGGATTCACTATGGGATATGCCCGGCCTTGGGTCTTTGGTAGATATATGCTTTCCCAACTAGACAATGAAGCTCAATCAATGGATGCAGTCTTTGAAAGTAGGGTAAGTACAGATAAATACCAGCAATGTCTTTTGATTGTCAAGGAGACAAGGGCGTCCCTTCAGTTGCCTAGACTAGTAACCGTCAGGCCACTGCTGAATCCAAGTTGCCACAGACTCCTAATTCTCAAAGATAAAATACCAGTCTTAATGACCAGCCCTCCTCGACTCAGCAATAACCCTCTGCAACTCATCAACCTTTGCCTTGGCCCTGCCGTAAGTGCCCAGCTTGCGCTTGGAGTACTTCCTTGCGCGCTTGTCCTTGCCGTTGCGGAGTAGTTCAATGACACGACGCTCGTAAGGGGCGAGGCTGTTGGAAGCAAGCATGGTCAGCAGCCAAAGCAGTCGTTATCTTGGATGGAGGGTTGTTATCGCCAGCTAGTAGATCCACAACGGGCCGTTATGGGGCCAGGACAGGGTTCCTCGGAATTCGAGATTATGAATTTGGGTTGGCTGGTGGGGGTGGTGGGTGAGGGGGGGAAGAAACACACCCGGCGACTTCCTTGACGATGCTGCGGACAAAGTTGGTGCGCTTGCTCTGGGCACCCTTGCGGCGGGAGGGGCGGGGTTTGGAGATGATGGGGATTGTTTTCTGGGGTTAATTAGTTGATGTTGTGGTGGGTTTTTATTACAGGAAAGAAGCCATCATGGGAAAGAGAAGGGTGGAGAGGTATAGAGATCATACAACCAGACATAGGATACAGATTCGAGGAAATGAAATTTAGCGTCGATCTTCTTTCTTCAACATAAATTTTTCTTTTCTGATTGGAATAATAGAAAGAAAAAACCATAATCTTGAATTAGAAAGAGAGGGGTCATACAGTGCCCTTGTTAACACCCTTTGCCAACCCCGTCTTCTCAGTCTCCTGCTTCTTGGTAGGAGCCATGTTTCTGATAACGCAAAAGATACGGTTTTTATCACCGGCGCCGAAGGGTTCGTCCGTTCGCTTTGGCTCGTTCGGGTTGCTGACGATGGCTGACAGGTGGAGTTGCGGACGGGAAGGCGAAGCCAAGTGGAGAATGTTTGTGCGGGTGCGCTGGCGGTTTGTGGGTCAGGGCTAACGTTTTGGTGCAATTCTGGATTTCAGTTGCAGGGGCATGATTGTGGGGGTGGCTTGTGGCTGGCTTGGCGGGAGGATGTGGCGTTGGTTTATGAGACGACTTCCATTTTGACGACCACCATGATAGGGCTACTATGGTTATTGCGATATTGCGGGTGGACATGGGATGAGCTTGCGATTTCCTTGGTTTTGTGTGCTTGGTTCTTTGAGTTGTTCATCGAGATTCGTTTTTTTCGGAGTAGAGGAAAATCAGACCCTGGGTCATCCCTCTGTCCAACGGTTCCCCTGTTGAAGGCCCTGGAGTGCCTCCCTACCTAATTCCTGGGAATTCCTGCCAGGAACCGAACACGACCTGCGCCTGCTATCGAGACCTGTCCTACCGGAGAAGCAGGATGGGACCACAGTCACAGCACAAAGCCTTTGGACGACAATATATCACCAACGGAGTATCAATCTTGTACGCCTGCCACTTGCACCGCTGCCCTCGGCACCCATGGTCAATCGTACTCGGGTATCTGTATCTTTTATTCTCCCCGAACCTGGGATCACCATTCACCGTCAACCGGCTGGCTTGTCAAAGTGTCATAGGGGACCATTGCAATGAATTGGTGCTTCTTGCTGGGTCTCCGACGGCTCCTACCTGATCTATCAGGGTGGGCAGGCGGTTGTGAGTTCAACTTTGTAGCTTGTGAAACAGACCTAAATACATGTGTACCGGTTAATAGTACTGTTCCTCTACTCAAAAGGTTTCTCCTGAGCTAGGTTTGAGCTGGTAGTTCCTCTCACAGAGAACCAGCGGTTTGTCACACAGAATGCTTCAAAGATCTTTCGTTGACCACATCCATTTGCTGTGTCACAGCTGGGAACACGAGTAGGATTGTTACTCTGACTTATATGCTTGAACCGACCACAGCCGTTGGCATAATGGCAGCAGAACTCAGCGTTGAGTAACGTTGAACAGAAAAGTCGGGAAAAGAGGCCAAGTACATTCGGTGTGGATTCAACGGTCCGATCTTTTCTCTTCTTGAGTCCAGTAAACGACAGAATATACGAAATTACAAGACATAGGGATGGCCGGGGGGACCAAACAGGTAGCATAATGATATCATGGCAGTCCACTTACATGTACCGGCATAATCAAACACTTTACCGACACCGGGAGAAAAGAGCGGACTCGGCTTGAAACGAAACATCGCGGAGGTGGAACATTGTGAACCAACCATAGCCTGTACCTGCTGAAAATTCCAGAATAGGCACTCGGCAAGGAAGATGGTTGGCTCAGCAGGTAGAGTGACGCTGGGAATCCGCTCCTCGAGAATCCGCCGGTTTTCCCGCAGTCGTGTGTGTGAGGCGAGAGGGCGGAGAATGGAGGCTTTCCATGGTTTCAACTGATATTTTCATCTCACTCGGCTGGTTGCAGTAGGTACAGGATCTGCATGTCTGGTGCTCCAGCATCCACAGTGTTGGCATCCAGTTGTAGATCAGATTTGAAGGATTGGCAGGTGGCAAGCGGCATATCCAGGCTCTCCGAGAAATCGATCTGCAGGTACGGCTGGTATTCATCGGCCGTGCCCGTTGAGGGAGGCTCTTTCTTAAATACTCAGGGCACTGATGGACCTGCCAATACAGGATTCCAATTCCTCAAGTCTTCAGTTCTTCTCAAAACTTCTTCCCTTGACCGGATCATCAGCAACCTTTTCTTTTTTTCAGAGCAGCCCGGTTGCTGCCACTTTTTATTAGACTTACTTTCTGTCAGCATCTATACCAAACACTCTTTTACAGCCGAACCTTTTCGACTACTTCTTCTAGAACATGATCCTGCCCGCCTTCTCTACCGCCCTAGTGGCGGGCCTCCTCCCACTCGCTGCGGCCCTCGCTGCATTCTCGGCAATGACAGACTACACCATCCCTCCAGCTGTGATTAAAACGCTGATGGAATCCGATAAAGAATGCGTCATGCCTTGGGGGTTCAACATCACCAACTTCATGATCTTCACCCCCGCCCCCGGCAACAATCACTCCCAACTCATTAGCTTTGACTTTTTCGACGACCCCACCAAAATCGCGACATCCTGCGCCTTCAATGAAAGTTCGGTCAATGTCGCTCCTTTCGATTTCACCCCTCGCTATCCATGTGATGACTGGCGGGTAACCTTTATGTGGAACAACGCAACACAAGGCCTGGAGATGATTGAAAGGGCCTGCCCAGATGTCTTGTAGGTTGATTATTAAAATGGCTGCTCCATTACGCGCTAACCAGTTATACAGAACAACTTCTATGGAGGCTTCCGGGTCGATATGGGTAAATGGAACCTTGAGCTGCCTCGAGGATGATGCGAACGGTGCGTATGGTCCTGGACTCGATTGCATCTCATTTCGAAAGTATGAGGCAAAGTACTACAGCCTTCAGCCCACACCGTGGTAGAGACACGTCGATGACACGTGGGAGCCCAGTAAGGGGATCCCAGGAGGGGGAATCAAGTGAAAGAAGGCATGAGGGGGGATATCAGCGGTCGTCACTGACACTGTGTGGACGTTTGAAACCCTGGCTACCTAATGGGTGTAGTTTGGTCCAGCTACTTGGTCTAGTTGGGCAGGATGGATGCGGGATTCAGGGAAGGATAATCAGTAGCACTGACAGTGGTTTCGATGGCACACTATTGAGCATACATCGAGGTTAGGTAATGGAGTATTAGTATTAGTAAGGCGGGAAGCAAAGAACAAAGAAGGTTCGTTCGTTCGTTCTGCATATTGGTGCACTCTGCAGGTTCGAAACATGCTTAATTGGTGAATAATGCGGGGTGTTACCACTACTGTGGCACTAACCCCTGTTCCCCCATAAAGTGCCCTGGCGGCACAGCAAGGTGCCCAAAATTATCACCAACCTCCTCTCTGAAACATGAACCTTTGAGAACCATTGCGTCATACCTCACACACGGCGATGGCTGTACGAGACGATATTCAGTCGATATATTTTTGTTGAAATCAAACAGTCAGCTATGAATTGTCTTTTGACGGTCCGTTTGGTTTCATCAGGCTGAATCCGTCCCTGCCGCAGTCCCTGGCGCCGTGCATTTCAATTGGCAAGTGATCTGGTCACGAGGTCGGATGTAGTCAAGGCCAACAGCCATCCTCCTCCTAACTGCCTTATGGTCTTTTACTCCCCGGGTCTCTCTTGTTCCTTAAACTCATTGGGTCATTTTCCCCCTTCACTTTTACTTAACCTCAGCATCCCTTTTACGGCCTGATTCAACATTAGCCAGCCCTCACGATCATCATCAGCAACAATGAAGCCATTAATATCGCCACTCCTCGGCCTCCTCTACACCACAACCGCCGCCCAAGCAAACCCGATATCATCACCCAAAGCCTCTAAAAAAAACGGCATATCCCCCCAATTATTCTCTTCCCTCGAACGGCTATCCCGCCTGGTAGACATCTCGTACTGCGTCGGCACCCCAGGTACAGGGGGTCTCTCCCCGCCGTTCAGCTGTTCAAGCCGGTGCGGTGATGTCGACATAAGCGGGAGGCTGGAGCTGATCAGGAGCTGGAACACGGGGTTTTTGAGCATGGAGGATAGCTGTGGGTTTGTGGCTTTTGACCATCCTGGGGTGCAGCAGGACAGAAAAGAGGGCAAGATTGTGGTTGCGTTTCGGGGGACGTATTCGCTGGCTAATACGATTGTTGATTTGAGTACTGTTCCGCAAGAGTATGTGCCTTATCCTGCTGACCCGGATGGGGATGGGGGGGACGAGAAGGGGAAAGGGCCGAGGTGTAATAATTGTACGGTTCATATGGGGTTTATGGCTAGTTGGAAGGCGGCGAGGGAGATTGTCGTGCCTGCGGTGGAAAAGGCGCGGAAGAGGTACCCTGGGTATGGGGTGGAATTGGTGGGACATAGTCTTGGGGGTGCGGTGGCGATGTTGGCTGGATTGGAGATGAGGGCTGGGAGGGGGTGGGAAGGGGTTAGGGTGGCGACGTTTGGGGAGCCGATGGTGGGGAATAAGGGGTTGGTGGAGTTTGTTGATGAGGTTTTTGGGTTGAAGGGGGATGTTGGGGGGGGTGGGGAGGATAAGGCGTATAGGAGGGTGACGCATAAGGGGGATCCGGTTCCGTTGTTGCCGTTGAGGGAGTGGGGGTTTAGGAGTCATGCTGGGGAGATCTTCATCACGAAGGGGGATTTGCCGCCTGGGCCGAAGGATCTGAGGTTGTGCGAGGGGGATAGGGATAAAGATTGTTTGAATGGGGAGGATGGGGATGACGAGGAGGGGGAAGAGAGTGATAAGGGGTGGTTTAGGGAGATGGTGAACGAGTTGGGCGGGAAGGAGGAGGGTGAGATGTGGGAGACGGAGACGGGGTGGCCGACGAGGTTTAAGTTATGGCAGTTGTTGTTTGCGCATAGGGATTACTTTTGGAGGCTTGGGTTATGTGTCCCTGGTGGTGATCCTATCGATTGGGGGAGAGGGAGGTATAACCTTACGGAGAGTGATGATGAGATGCGGGATCTGTGAGATGAATTCAAAACACTGGGAGCGAACTGGAGGCAGCCTGCGTTTGACTTGTTTGGCGTTTTGTCGGTTTGGCTAGAAGCATATTGGTATGGTTCGGAGTTATGATCAAGGAAAACACGAATGGCTTCGGGAGGCTCATGAAAGCGTACTTCTGCTAGTTATGATATCAACATATGATAATGTTTCTTGCTTCATAAGCTCGCTACACAGATCTCTATCTATCTTTGCGACTCATGTAGTCATCAAACCCGATGACGGTTTCTTGTTCGTGACACACATTCAGGGGCACAGTTGACTTTTTTAATTCATTTATCACACCCCGGACATAAATCTTGGTGCTGCTCTTAGCTATTTTTAAAGCGTATAATATATCTTTTGAGGCCTATTGGCTATCTTTGGAAGAGTTGTAATTATCTTGTGAGGTGTGGTTTCGCTTTCCTCGAGGTGCCTATCAGCATTCACCATCTACCGAGCAAAACGAAGATGTTGTAACTCCCCAACCCTGGCCAAGAGATTCAACATTGAGACCGCCACATCATGAGGCTGATGCCTTAGGTTAATCAGACTTCCTCTTTCTCGCCAAGAGTTCGCAGGAGAGCTGATCAAGTAGCTTCAGTGGATATGTGATGTCCATCCTCATTTGATTCACAGATTTCCGCGAACATTTTGGTGGTTTTCCCTCTACTAACCAGTCGCGTGACTGGTCATCACCACTGTAACCGGACCTAAACCCTCTCACCAGTGATTGGCCAGGCTGACGAACAAGCTCATAGGCGGATGCCGCTGTCACTTGTCACGGTTGAAAGTGCGCTGTTGTTGCCTCGACAAAACGCCAAACAGGCAAAATATAAACATCAGCATGAGCATTTAATAAACTCGGAACCGCGACTGCCTTGTTCTGTTGTGGCTTAGGTCCGTCGTGGTGGTCGTCCAAGGCTGTGTGCATACATCTCATCCCGCATCGAAGCATCTCTTGCTCACTGGATTGGATGAAATTGAAGGGATTGGATGATGCACTGGCCGCATGCTATGAGTGGCCTAAGAAGGGGGCACGGGGGGAAGCCTTGCAGTGTGTGATGTGGTTCTTCTAGCCGCTTCCATGATTTACCCTGTGGGTTGGGCTCGTGGGTGAGTTGTTCGTTGAGCCCCACACATGGGATGCTCTTGATAACTTTGATTTGACCAACCACCGACATGAGCTTTTAGGAGAATGGGAGCCTCATGAATAGTGGAAGCTGCCTGTGATGGTGAGGGGAGGCAGCATCTCGTTCTGTGTGACCACACCTTCTTTGAACCCCTCACCTCCCACGTTGCCCGCCAGCGCTTGAACCAAAGAAGGCAGAGGAAGGCTTTGCCTCGTGACTGCCGGCGGCTCAAAGAGGAATGGACGGCTGAGCCAAACTCTGGTTTTCGGCACGGGGACTGGGTGCCACGAGGACGCGCGCGGGCGGTGGGCAGTGATAAGGAAATAAAACGCTTGCTGCCATCGAATGGAGGGGCTCTGAGTCAAGGAGTTTTGCGCGTATGTAGGTCCCTTTGGTTGCGTGACGTCCTGCGGCTTGCCCCTCACCAACATGCCATCTCTGCCTGCGTCTCAACCTTCGATGATAGGGACAAGATGTAGAGCCATCGGGTTGACGATGGTGATGCATGGACGGCGGGAGGCTGCCGGAGCTGCCCAGTTACCGGGGCCGCCTGTATTAGTGTAGATCCAAGACATTCCCTGGGAGCTGTGATTGTCTGATCCAGAGAAAAAGGAATTCAGGCGGCCATAAGGTGGGGAACGATGACTCCATTGAGATGAATGGCGATTTCATGACCAACCTACCTAAAGACCAGGTGACGGCTGCCATCTCAAGCTTTATAGGGAGAATTCAAGACCTCGGATGTTTCGATTTATATTCCGACGTCCAAGTGCCGAAGCTGGCGGATCAAAGAAGGTCGAGAAGGTCTGTCTCCAAGGTGAAAGCACTGGCAGTGGCAGCCGTCAACAAACGACGAGACGTGATCCAGATAGTGGGGTCGGGAGGCCTTGGGCGAGGGTTGCTTGTGCTTGTCTCTGTTAGGGTGGGACTCCCAATTCCGTGGGAAATAAGGTGGTATCGTAGGTCACGTGTAAACACTCTGCAGGCGGTTTCATTCGACCGCTGCCCCCGAAAAAAAACAGGGCCCCCCAGGCTGCGCTTCGTTAGCCCCAAGAGAGGGGGAGACCGATTTGACCTCCCCCGAAAGTCCCTTTGGCTCCAGCACTTGAACCTGCTTCCGACCTCACCACTTCGCAAAAACACCAAAACAAATCTCCATCTACCAGCGACTTTTCCACGCGACCCTCCTGCTCTTACCTTCTCCTTTCGGAATCCTCCACTACTCGAGAGACTTGCGCACTCAACATCACACATAACAAAAATGGCGACCGAGGTACGTTGGACCCTTGACCCACGACGCCCACCGTTTGAAGCCCGCCAATTCCCCCTCCCGAACCCCCGGCCTCGAGCCGTGTCGTGATAGGCCCTCTCCTGGCCTTCTGGCATCCCCTCTCCTATCTACTAGAATCTTACTAACTTTCTGTTCTCAATATGTAGCGTGAAAGGTTCGTCTGCTTCAGTGCTGGAGCTGTGGCCGCCACAGCTTCAACCCCGCCGTTGCCTGCAGCGAGAACTAACCGAGTGTAAAAATTGTAGCAAGACCTTCCTCGCCCGCCTCTGCGAGCAGGCCGAGCGTTATGATGAGATGGTTGGCTACATGAAAGAGGTCGCCAAGCTCGGTGGTGAGCTTACCGTTGATGAGCGCAACCTCCTCTCCGTCGCCTACAAGAACGTCGTTGGCACCCGCCCCCCCCAGTGGCGCATCATCTCCTCGATCGAGCAGAAGGAGGAGTCCAAGGGCTCTGACAAGCATGTCCCTACCATTCGCGAGTACCGTTCCAAGATTGAGAGCGAGCTCGAAAAGGTCTGCCAGGACGTTCTTGATGTCCTCGATGAGGCTCTTATCCCCAACGCTGCCTCTGGCGAGTCTAAGGTATTCTACCACAAGATGTACGTTGTATTCTGCGCTGGCATGAACGTCACCTCTTTTTTGGACTTGGATGACTGACTGACTTGATTTATAGGAAGGGTGACTACCACCGTTATCTTGCCGAGTTCGCTCCGGTGAGAAGCGCAAGGGTGCTGCCACCTCTGCGCACGAGGCCTACAAGGTACGATTAGTTGTTTTTGGTTTTGCAAATGCTACTCGATAGTTGCTAACGTGCCGTTTTTTTCGTGTTTTTGTAGAGCGCCACCGATGTCGCTCAGACCGAGTTGACCCCCACCCACCCCATCCGCCTGGGTCTGGCTCTCAACTTCTCCGTTTTCTACTACGAGATCCTCAACTCCCCCGACCGTGCTTGCCACCTCGCCAAGCAGGCTTTTGATGATGCTATTGCCGAGCTCGATTCCCTCTCTGAGGAGTCTTACCGCGACAGCACCCTTATCATGCAGCTTCTCAGGGATAACCTTACCCTCTGGACCTCGTCCGATAACGGCGAGCCTGAGGCTACCGAGGTTCCCAAGGAGGAGAAGACCGAGGAGAAGCCCGCTGAGGAGAAGGCTTCTGAGCCCGCACCTGAGAACTAAGCGGCTCGTCCATGACGGGATCGTCGAAACATTCCGAGAAGGGTCTCTCGGGACCCCACACCTCGTTTTGGTTGCTTGATAAGCTGTAATTGGGGGCGATGTGGGTCAATATCAGACCTTTAGTTGCCGGAGACTGGACTACATCGTCTGGCCGTGCCGGTTGGGCGGGTGCAGTGCTATGCGGTAGCAATAGCACTAGCGGTTCATGCAAGGGCGAGACTGCGCAAGGGAGTTGGTTGATGTTAGGGGGAAACTGAAAATGCAGGGCATGGTGCTTTCTCGTTTTATTACCTCTGTTTTTGTTTTGAGTCTCCTTTTTACAACTTTGCTTGCTTCCCTTGGTTCGGAGTTGTGTCGGTTCAAATCTCCAGTTTTCTGACGAGGGGAGGAGGAAAGGCCAAGCCACCCATCGAAGTCGCTCGCCATTCCATCTGGCGAGGAAATGAAATCCATTTAAGCCAAATACCTCTTTTAGTGTCACATGTCCCATTCTACGAGCTTTGATGTATCTCCTATCAAAAATTGCCTCTGTCGGCTTCGGGTAGTGATAAACCCTTC